TTTCAGGAAAAAAGTCAGATAAAAGAGTTCAGTGCGACTTGGGACAAATTACTTTCATGAAAAGTTTTTAGTTTGACTTTAATAAATCACATGATAAGAATCGCTTCAAAAGTTGGATTTACCGAATTTTTATTTTTTGCTAAAAAATGGAAAATCGTACATTTTCATGTTCCTGGAAAACAAAAAAAAATTTAAGAAATAAATTTACGTTAAATTATTACATTTTTTCTGAAAATGTCCGTAAAGTAGTACTTTTGAAGACTCATATGTCATTAATTGAAATTCTCTTGTATCACAATAAATATTAAAAAAAAAACAGCATAACATAACACATCGCCCTACTATGTTGATTAATTTTCAGGTCTTTCAGGAAAAAAATCCTGATAAAAATTGAATGTTACAAAAAAAAATGCAAAAATATGCATTTTTATGTCTCTGTGAAACAAAACAAAAAAATAATTAAGAAATTAATTTCCGTTGTATTATCATATTTTTTCTGAAAATGTCCGTAAAGTGTACTTTTAGAGACTTATATGTCATTAATTAAAATCGTCCGCTTCACAGTGAAACATTACAAGTTTCATTTACATTGACGTGGAAATAACGCTAAGCCTTGGTTGGCATTTATTCATACAAAATTAGCGTGAATATAGCATAAGATTCTCTGGTTTTTAGTCTTGAATGTCAAAAAAAAAACAATGTAAAATTATGCATTTTTACGTTCCTATGAAACAAAAAGAACATTTAAGAAATAAATTTTCGTTAAATTATTATAACTTTTTTCTGTAAAGTAAAATATTTAGGATTTATTTCACTAATTAATCAATCGTTTGATTTAAGATTTTCAAACAATTTGACATTGAAACATCAATTTAGTTAAAGTGTTCTGTTCACGTTGGCGTGGAAATAGCGGTCCAAATTGTCGCCAAGCAAATTAGCGTAAATTGCCATAAAATTTTCTGGTTTTTAATATAAAATGTAAAAAAAATAATAATATCATGCATTTTCATGTCCTTGAGAGAGAAGAGAAAAGAGTTAAAAATAAATTTCCGTTAAATTATTATATTTTATAAAAATGTCTGTAAAGTTACAGTACTTTTAAGAATTCAAACTTCATTCAATGAAATCATCCGCTATAGAGTTGGAAACATCAAAATTCTTAACGTGTTTTATTCACGTTGGCGTGAAAATAGCGGTTATAATTGCCGCTAAGCTTCCATTTCCGTTTATTTAAACGAAATTAGCGTGAAAATAGCATGAGCATAATAAGCATAATAAGTTATTATAGAATGTCAAGAAAAAAGGAATATCATGCATTTTCATGTCCTTGTGAGAAAAGAAAAGAGTTAAAATTAATGTTCCCTTAAATTATCATATTTTCTAAAAATGTCCGTAAAGTAGTACTTTTAAGGACTAAAACGTCATTAATTGAGATCGTCCGCTTTACAGTAGAAAACATCAAAATTCTTAAAGTGTTTCGTTCACATTAGCGTATAAATAGCGGTTGAATTTGCTACTAAGCTTTCATTCCTGTTCAAACAAAATTATATTTTATTATAGAATGTCAAAAAAAAAGAAATATTATGCATTTTAATGTCTTGAGAGAAGAGAAGAGTTAACAATAAATTTTCGTTGAATTATCATAATTTTTAAAATAGGACTCAAATGGTATTAATTGAAATCGTCCGCTTTACAGTGGGTAACATCAGAATTTTTAAGATTTCACGTTGGCGTGGAAATAGCGATTGGAATTGCCGCTAAGCTCCCATTCCTGTTCAAATGAAATTAACGTGAAAATAGCATGAGATTTCTTGGTTTTATTATAGAATGTCAAAAAAAAAGTAATATTATGAATTTTTGTGTTCTGAGATAGAACAGCTCTTCTCTTCTTCTATTTAAAAATAAATTTACGTTAAATTATTATATTTTGTGAAAATGCCCGTAAAGTGGCTCTTTTAAGGACTCAAGCTTTATTAATTGAAATCGTCCGTTTTACAGTGGAAAACATCAAAAATCTTAAGATGTTCCGTTCACGCTGGCGTGGAAATAGCGGTTGAAATTGCCGCAAGCCCCCAGCGTTCATTCATACTAAATTAGCGTGAACATAGCATGAGATTTTCTAGTTTTTAATGAAATGTCAAAAAAAGTAATATCATGCATTTGCATCTCTCTGAGAAGAGAAGAGTGAAAAAATAAGTTTCTATTAAATCAATATTTTGTAAAAATGTCCGTAAAGTAGTACTCTTAAGGACTCAAACTTTATTTATGAAATCGTCCGCTTTAGAGTGGGAAACATCAAAATTCTTACAGTGTTCTATTCACGTTGGCGTGAAAAGAGCGTTTCAAACAAAATAAGCGTAAATATAGCATGAGATTTTTTAGTTTTTAATGAAATGTCAAAAAAAAGTAATAACATGCATTTGCATCTCCCTGAGAGAGAAGAGAAGAGTGAAAAAATAAGTTTCTGTTAAATTAATATTTTGTAAAAAGGTCCATAAAGTAGTACTTTTATGGACTCAGACATTATTAATTAAAATCACAAACATCAAAATTCTTAAGGTGTTCCGTTCACGCTGGCGTGGAAATAGCGGTTGAAATTGCCGCTAAGCCCCCAGCGGTCATTCATACGAAATTAGCGTGAATATAGCATGAGATTTCCTAGTTTTTAATAATATGTCAAATAAAAGTAATATCATGCATTTTCTCTCTGAGAGAGAAGAGTGAAAAAATAGGTTTTTGTTAAATTAATATTTTGTAAAAATGTCCGTAAAGTAGTACTTTTAAGGACTCAGACATCATTAATTGAAATCAGAAACATCAAAATTCTTAAGGTGTTCCGTTCACGTTAGCGTGTAAAAGGCGGTTGAAATTGCCGCTAGAATGTCAAGAAAAAATTAACATTATGCATTTTCATGTCCTTGTGAGAAAAGAAAAGAGTAAAAATTAATGTTCCGTTAAATTATCATATTTTATAAAAATGCCCGTAAAGTAGCTCCTTTAAGGACTCCATCGTTATTAATTAAAATCGTCCGTTTTACAGTGAGAAACATCAGAATTCTTAAGATGTTCCGTTCACGCTGGCGTGGAAGTAGCAATTGAAATTGCCGCTAAGCTTCCATTTCCGTTTATTTAAACAAAATTAGCGTGAAAATAGCATGAGATTCGCTAGTTTTATTATAGAATGTCAATGTCCTTGTGAGAAAAGAAAATAGTTAAAATTAATGTTCCCTTAAATTATCATATTTCCTAAAAATGTCCGTAAAGTAGTACTTTTAAGAACTAAAACGTCATTAATTGAGATCGTCCGCTTTACAGTAGAAAACATCAAAATTCTTTTAAAGTGTTTCGTTCACGTTAGCGTATAAATAGCGGTTGAATTTGCTACTAAGCTCTCATTCCTGTTCATTCAAACAAAATTAGCGTGAAAATAGCATGAGATTCGATGCTTTTATTATAGAATGTCAAAAAAAGAAATATTATGCATGTCTTGAGAGAGAAGAGTTAACAATAAATTTTCGTTGAATTATCATAATTTTTAAAATAGGACTCAAATGGTATTAATTGAAATCGTCCGCTTTACAGTGGGTAACATCAGAATTTTTAAGATTTCACGTTGGCGTGGAAATAGCGATTGGAATTGCCGCTAAGCTAACATTCCTGTTCAAATGAAATTAACGTGAAAATAGCATGAGATTTCTTGGTTTTATTATAGAATGTCAAAAAAAAGTAATATTATGAATTTTTGTGTTCTGAGATAGAACAGCTCTTCTCTTCTTCTATTTAAAAATAAATTTACGTTAAATTATTATATTTTGTGAAAATGCCCGTAAAGTGGCTCTTTTAAGGACTCAAGCTTTATTAATTGAAATCGTCCGTTTTACAGTGGAAAACATCAGAAATCTTAAGATGTTCCGTTCACGCTGGCGTGGAAATAGCGGTTGAAATTGCCGCTAAGCCCCCTTCACTTTCATTCACACGAAATTAGCGTGAATACAGCATGAGATTCCCTGGTTTTATTATAGAATGTCAAGAAAAAGTAACATCACACATTTTCATGTCCTTGTGAGAAAAAAGTTAAAATTAATTAAATTATCATATTTTCTAAAAATGTCAGTAAAGTAGTACTTTTAAAAACTCAAACTTTATTTATTGAAATCGTCCGCTTTAGAGTGAGAAACATCAAAATTCTTACAGTGTTCTATTTACGTTGACGTGAAAAGAGCGTTTCAAACAAAATTAGCGTGAATATAGCATGAGATTTCCTAGTCAAAAAAAGCAATATCATGCATGTCTCTGAGAGAAAGGAGAGAGTGAAAAAATAAGTTTCTCTTAAATTAATATTTTGTAAAAATTTCCGTAAAGTAGTACTTTTAAGGACTCAGACATCATTAATTGAAATCAGAAACATCAAATTTCTTAAGGTGTTCCATTCACGTTAGCGTGTAAAAGGCATGACATTTCCTGGTTTTATTATAGAATATCAATAAAAAAGTAACATCATGCATTTTCATGTTCTTGTGCGAAAAGAAAAGAGTTAAGATTAATGTTGAGTTAAATTATCATGTTTTATAAAAATGACCGTAAAGTAGCTCTTTTAAGAACTCAAACGTTATTAATTAAAATCGTCCGTTTTACAGTGGAAAACATCAGAATTCTTAAGTTGTTCCGTTCACGCTGGCGTGGAAATAGCGGTTGAAATTGCCGATAAGCCTCCAGCATTCATTCATACGAAATTAGCGTGAATACAGCGTGAGATTCCGTGGTTTTTGATGTAGAATGTCACCATCGTCTTAGCAAACAAATCCCCATTTCTGTTTAATCATCCAGGTGGAGCTCTCTCTTAATCTATTATAAATTCAAAGCGAAGTACTCCATATAGTTAAACAAGTTATAAGCCCTGATAAGGTTATTTGTGTACATAAACCATCCAAGCTGTCGTCACGTGCAACATTATCGACGAGCATAGTCCGAAATGTACATATCTCCAATCATCAGGGTTATCCTAATCAGCGGATTCCCTTCGACGAAATAAGAAGAAATCGATCAGTTGTCGGCTGAATTTCACGCAAAATGTTCGGTGCGAACTTGATTAAAAGCGGCCGTTTTGTGGCTTTCAACGGAGTCGGCTTTTTTAAGATTCCGGGACAGATTGCGGCCAAGAGACCGGAAGCTTTAACACCTGTTAGAACCGCAGCCACAACACCCGGACTTTGGCTACCCAAACTCTCACAGGTATCACAAAAATCTTGCACTGTTTGTGTCCAAACCAAGAAAAATCTCTCATTTTCTTGACTTAGAAATTGTCTTGTAAACAAGGAAATTAAACGTTCCAATTATAATTAATTTTTATAACAAATTATATTGATTTTATTTAATCTTATCGTCAGACGAGTTTGCAATTGATTCAAGTACCTGTAGGAAAATTATTGCTTAATCTTCATGAACTGGAATGAACGAGAAAGTGGAAAAATATTTTTTTGTAAAAAATCAACTGACGTCAAAGTAATAGTAATTTATTCAAAAGTTCTTTGATGATTTTTGAAAGTGTATCAAATTGCTTGACGTTTGACCTATTTGGAAAAAAATATGTCAACTAAATTAATTGCAGAGATAGAAATAATCAAATTTTACTATTATCTATACTATTTTCGGCGATTTTTGTACGTTTCTTGTCACAATAATAATCGTCACATAAAAATTGTGTAATATTTTTGTTCGTAATGACGAAATTTGAATTTATTAACTCTCTTTTATTTTTCACTTATTTTTGATAATATTTACTTTTTAACGGAAAATTTCTTTATAGCCTTTGATTTTTTTTTGATAATAATTGAATAAAATGTAGGTAATTGTAAT